TTATAGAGGTTTCAAAAATCAGTTCGTATGTTTCCCACAAGCTTACTTCTGTACTCTATTGTTCTCCTCTTCACCAAATGCTTTGTCCTCTTTTGCTGAAATCTGAACTGCTCACAGATTTTGTGTTTGCTGCTTTTTTTAAAGCCAATTTTTATGCCCCTTTCTTGGATCTGATATGATCCCTAAGTTCCCTTGTTTGCCAAGCCTGGGTAATCTTTCCAATTTTATTTTTGTACCAGATAGGAGCAAACAATTGTTGCAGTTACTGCATGCACTGTTCAAATGTTTGCTATTGCCTATCCACCATCACTCCTTTAGGTAATGTACTCTAATTTACCAAAGCCACCTTGCATCTCATGCCATAATGGTTTTCTTTATTTAGATCCAGGACCCTGGTCTCCTAATCAATTACATCTTAACAAAGGATTCTATTGTATTTTGATCACTCTTTCCCCCAAGGAGCTGTGCACAGCTAAGATATAACCATTGCCATAGGCCAACTGTCTATAACATATCTGACATTTTTTTTGAAAGATTACCTATGATTAATTAACCTGTGGCATAAAGGCAGAGACATGCCACAACCAGAAAACACATTAAGCAGTGATATAGCAGTGCCAACACAATACTGTGAGACATTCCACCTTCATAATGCCAGAGTTAAAAAGGAACTGGACATTACTCTGGATGGTCAAAGATTGAAGCATGATTTCCACCCTGCCTGCCCCTGTTAATCTAGGTGTCATCCTTGACAGAATCTTTCTCAACAATGTACATCATCTCAGGTACTCACAGATCAACGAACCTCTTCTAGTTCCCAGTCATAAGCAACACTTTTCCCCCACATCAGGAAGATAAGTACAATAGGCAAGTGACTGAGCAAGCCCAACTATAAACCAAGCCTGCCTTGTCACCTTATAAGCAGAATATCCTCTCTTATGCCACTCCCATGGTAGTTAAACCCACCACACTGAGCTGTAACAGCTGAGTACCTTTGACAGGTGGAAGCATCCACTCTTTCATTGTCAACCCCATTGCTTTACCACCTTGCTCTGATCTCCAATAGCAACAGTCCTTATTAAACTGTTTCTGGACCAGTCAAGGCCTCTGAGCAGCCACCTAACATGAGTGGAGTTGCCAAGACCAGGTGGCTGCAACTATGGTGCAGTCCAAATAATGATTCTCGATGTTGAGGGGTGTCTGCTGACTAAATTTGAGGTGTGCCTAAAGAACTCCATCTAGCTACTGACCAGGCCATTGCCTGGTTCTGTGACTTTGTGCGTGATAAATAAATAATCAGAGTGAAATCATGTGGTTCAATTTAAAAAGCAATGTGTTCTCCCATTGTTTCAGCCACCTTTAACTAACATGGCCACAAATTCATTCTTTGTTCATTCATCTCATTGCTGTTTGTGAGATGTTGCTGCAAAGCAATAGTTGTTCCATTTAAAAGTAGTTATGGAGTACTTGAAAATGTGAGGAGACAATGTGAGGAGGTACAAATGCAAACTTTTTTCTTTTCTAATGACGACAGTATTTTCAGGGTACTGGTTTATGTGGTTTTACAGTACCAATCAGCTGGCTCACCTCTCCTCATCTACATGCATGAATCTGTTAACAACTTTCAATATTTTTAAGTGGAACAAAGTGTTTTGGCTATGCTTGTGACCCAGAGTCAGGACGGTATCTTTGTTGTAGCCATTCATATGCAAACTTGACAACATGTTATTGGGTGTGATTTTATAATATCTCACCTTCTCACGCGGAGTGGTGAAAGAAAATTCTTTTGGAACAGATTTAAGTGACAGTGGTTTGTGTCAAGCCATTTGCACAGTCTCACTTGTCAGCTGGTACTCACAAATGCGCACATTGGTGAATTTTGTAATGCCGTTGATGAGTTTCCATTGAGAATTTCTAAGTATTTATTTTTCTTTTGTCACAGCAATACACTATATCGTAGCCAGCGCAGTTTTGATTACATATGCTCAAAGACCAAATTGGAGATCCCCACATAAGTGAGGTGGTATGACATGTTGGAAAATACTGAATGTACCATAGCACCCGATGTAGGGGACCTGCTTTCAATTTCAAGCGGAGATGCTGGTTGCTGCAGCAGAGGTCCTAAAACTGGTCTTCTGGAGCTATTCTAGAACAATGCCTACCACCTATTTTTTTACAGATTTGTCAGAGGCCTGGCACTTTCTATGTATTAAGTGAATGGTGTGCTATGCAGGAAAATTTAAATTGTCTTAACTGAATGAGTATGTAAGTTCCAAATGGATATTGACCATAAGTCGTCAGCAGCAGTGTGCTGTATCCAGTAATGAAATCTGGATTTCATGTGAAAGAAATACACACTTTTCAGCACTATGCAAAATAGAATTTTGGTGCATGTATGCTAGTAAAGACAAATAATAAGTAACTTTTTTGAATTTGTTCATTCAGTATTTTTATGTAACTGAATATATCAAATTAACAATTCATGAAGTTAGTAGAAGGTCCATAGAATCCCTACAGTGTAGAAACAGGCCCTTCATCCCAACAAGTCCACACTGACCCTCACAGCATCCCACCCAGACCCATTCCCCTATAACCCACCTAACCTATACATCCCTGGACACTATGGGCAATTTAGCATGGCCAATCTACCTAGCCTGCACATCTTTGGATTATGGGAGGAAACCAGAGCACCCGGAGGAAACCCACGCAGACACGGGGAGAATGTGCAAACTCCACACAGACGGTCACCCGAGGGTGGAATCGAACCCAGGTCCCTGACGCTGTGAGGCAGTAGTGCTAACCACTGAGCCCCATGATAATGAGTGATCTCGTCTTGATGTCAGAGCATTGAATATAGGTGTTGGAACGTCATGTTGCGGCTATACAGGACATTGGTGAGGCCACTTTTGGAGTGCTGCATGCAATTCTGGACAAAGAACAAGAACAATTAACAATACAGCACAGGAACAGGCCTTTTGGCTCTCCCAGCCTGTGCTGACATGTTTTACCTTTCTGTACTAAAACTATCTTCACTTACAGGATCCATATCCCTGAATTGCCTTCCTATTCATGTATTTGTCGAGGTGCTTTTCAAATGCTGCTGTTGTCTGCTTTCACCGGCAGCACGTTCCAGGCACTCACCACCCTTTGTATGAAAAACTTGTCTTGCACATCTGTTCGAATCCACCACCACCACCACCACCACCACCTCTCGGAATCTGTGGCCCCTAGTAATGCCCCCTCCATCCTGGCTCACCCTGCCATAAGAAGGATGTTATTAAATTGGAAAGGGTACAGAAAAGATTTACAAGATTTTAGCGGGACTGGAGGGTTTGTGTTATGGGGAGAGGGTGGACAGGCTGGGCCTTTTTACCATAGAGCATTAGAGGTTGAGAGGTGACCCTATAGAAGTTTATAAAATCATAAGGAGCATAGATAAGGTGAATAGCAAAATTCTTTTCCGTAGTGCAGGAAAGTTCAAAACGAGGGCATAGGTTTAAGGTTAGAGGGAAAGATTTAAAAGGGACCTGAGGGGAAACATTTTCTACACAGAGGTTGATGTGTATATGGAATGAACTGCCAGAGGAAGTTGTAGATGCAGATATAGCTACAACATCTTTTAAAAGACATTTGGACAGGTAAGTGAATAGGAAAGGTTTAGAGGGATATGTTTCAATGCAGGCAAATGGAACTAGTTTAATTTGCGAAGCCTAATCAGCACAGACAAGTTGGATCGAAGGGTTTGTTTCCGTGCTGTATGTCACTAAGGCATTATGTGACGTGGTGAGTTCTCTTGATTTAAACAGTGACGTGGATGAAAATTATTGGTTTTTCACATTATTTGTGGCATTTGATTGAGTTCCTTTTGTAGATGTCAGAAACTTTATGTTTTCTGATGTTTATCCATTTTCTTTACCTTTCATAAATCACACAAGAATACGGTCAGAAATAGACCATTTGGCCTTTTGAGCTTGCTTCACCATACAGTCCATCATGGCCAAGTTGCTCATTAAATTCCATCCTTCTGTACTAACCCCAATTTCTTCAAACAGTTTCTCTAAAAATCTATCAATCTATGTCAAGAAAATACTCAATGATCAACCATCTCCAGCACTCTGGAGTAGAGATTTCCAAAGATCCATAACCCTCGTGTAAAGAAATGTCTCCTCATGTCAATCCCTTATTCAGAGTCTGTCCTTTTGTTTCTAGATTCCCTAGTCAGAGGAAATATCTCCCTTTATCTACTCTTTCATAGCGAGATCACCTTTTGTTCTCCTAAAACTTACAGATATATTGGGTTTTTTTTACCTTTATAAGCACTCTCCTCACTCCAGAATTTAACCTAATAAGTTTGTCCTTCATTATGTGTGCAGGCCAATTTAATTCTTTGACTAACAAAGGCTAATATTTCTATTTGCATTTTCAATTCCCATACCTGCACGTTAAATTTCTGTGATACGTGTGTCAGGGAACTTTGTCCCTCTGAAAACCAATGTTTCTAAGTCCATGACAATTTTATTAAGTTTTCTGCTTTTCTGTTTTGTCTTCCAAAGTAGATAATTTTGTCACCCCGATTACATTTGATCTGTTCTGTTCTTGCACACTCATTTACCCAGTCTGTATCCTATTTTTTCAATTTCTTTAAGTTCTTACTTTTCTTATTGGTGACTCATTTATATCCTTAAACTGCTTCTCCAGATCTGAAGGAGAAATGTTGTTCTTGCATTTCCATTTACTATGGCGTAATTCCTATTGCAGATATTCATTCTGGCTATGATTCTTTGCAAACCTGCCTTTTGATTTGTTAGAATTTGCTGAGATCAGAACTTAGTGATGTATTATAGCTGCCTTTATAAGGTCTGGAATATGTAAGGAGCATGATATTTTATTGTTGCTGAATTGCTTCATCAATAACCTTTCCTCCAACATAATGTGAGAAGTGGGATGTTTGCTTATGACGTGTATTCATTTAAATTTGTAATTTCTGCCTTCGATTGCAGTTTCTGCCCAAATGGAGAAAGACCTGGACAGCATTAAGGAACATTCTTGCTACACAAGCATCAGACAATAAGAGAGGGTAATCATCACCTCTTAACAGCAGCTTTACTGTTGTCGAATCCCACAGTATAAACATTCCAGAGTTTACAGTTTAACCAGCAAAGTTGATTGATTGTAAGATCCTAAGTAACACAAGCATGATTAGACCATTCGGCCCTTTGGATTTGGCAGTGCCATTCTGGTCTGCTTATAGCTTTAACCTCAATTAGCTCTCCATTTCCCCAATAACCTTTGGCATCTTTGTCAATCAAAAATCTTGCTGAACCGGTTCGTCAATGACCCAGCTTACACCACTCCTTTTGGAAGAGAATTTCAAACACTAATGATCCTCTGAGAGGATAAATTCTTCCTCATCTCCATATTGATTGGAGAACCTTCTAATTTTTAAACTATGACCTCTAATTCTAAATTTCTTTCTTGAGGGAAACTTTCCTTTTTACATCCACCTCTCCAGATCTTGTACATTTCAGTTAGATCACCACTCATTCTTTTAAACTTCAATAGGTGCATATCCAACCTGTGCAGTGTTTACCCTCCATATCCTAGGAATTAGTCAAGTGAACCTTCTCTGAGCTGCCTCCAATGGTATTATACCTTTTGCATAAGTAAGGAGACCAAAACTAGATGCAGGTGAGGTGTGATCTCATCAATGCTGCGTACAACTGTAGCAAAACTTCCTGACTTCTACAATTCATAACCTTTGCAACAGAAAACAACATTCAATTTGCCAGAGATAGTAGGAACTGCAGATGCTGGAGAATCTGAGATAACAAGGTGTAGAGCTGGATGAACACAGCAGGCCAAGCAGCATCAGAGGAACAGGAAAGCTGACGTTTCGGGCCTAAACCCTTCTTCAGAAATGCAATTCTGATAGTTCTTCCATTTCTGACGAAGGGCCTAGGCCCAAAACGTCAGCTTTCCTGCTCCTCTGATGCTGCTTGGCCTGCTGTGTTCATCCAGCTCTACACCTTGTTATCTCAGATTCTCCAGCATCTGCAGTTCCTACTATCTCTGAAACGATTTTAACCCCACTGCGAAGTCTCTTCTAAGGATGCCTACCTTGAAGAAGTTACCCACCTCCCATTCAATTTGCCACTTGTTGTATCTACCTCCTAATGTTTTGTTATCTAACCATTGTCACAATCAACCTGTGAGTGAGGCTTGCCAATTTATTATGACGACAGAGCTGTTATCCCAATTATCAAGCTTCCAGACAAGGGATAAACGGGCTGCCCTTTATTCATCTACTCAGCTAGACACAACAGGTTAATTAAAAAAATGATCCTCTGTCTTGTGGATACCCATCTCCCAGATCAAATGAATTTATATTTCAAAAGGAGCTGATTTTATCTCAAGAAAGCCTTGTTAATGAAAAAGTGAGGTTATTACTTAGTAAAAGCAAAAATAAATAATAATGCAACACAGACATACAGGTTAGAAGTAAGATGAGAGTGAAAAAAAAGTTTAAAAAAATCTCTGGGTCATTCTTGAAGAGTAATTAATGTAATGTTGATCACTGAGCAGTGATTTCAGGATCCTTTGCAGATTAGCTAAAATGCTTTTGCCATGTTTCCTTTTGGACTGGCTCTCTGCCTGACTTCCATCACTTAGCTTGAGAGAATCTTTTACCTTCAGTACAGAGGTGATTAGTGGATGGTTCTTCGACTGTGGCCTTAACAGCTCAAGCTTAGGCTAGTGAATATTAGTGCTTCAACCCCATAGCAAATACACACCATGGTTGAAACTTGCTTTCTTTCTTGAACGAGGAAACACAAACATGTCTCTTATGTTCACTGTCTGAGATGCACACAGAAATTACACTTCAATTTTTCTCCCTTTGCTTCCTTGACACCTTATGGTTCAGGTGACATTCCAGGGTTCTTTTTCAGACTGACATTGACTTTACATCCACAGTCACCTTATGGCCATATCTCTTTTTTCTTTGGTGTTAAAACCACATCTTGCAGTTGAAAGTTAAATATGTCCATAGGTCCACTGGGGTTATGATATGTGTACCTGACACCAACTCTATCTGTAAGCCCAAAACTATTAATTGTTATTTTGTTCAGTAAGTTTTTATGTAGTACCTTATCAAGTGCTTTTTAGAAACACGCACAGACCAAATCATCTGGTAATTCTTTATCAATTCTTATAAATTAGTCAAACATAATTTCCCTTTGACAAAATTATGTTGACTCTGTTGATTGTATTATAATTTTTCTGAGTGATATACTACTCCCTTCTTCATAATGGAATCTACATTTTCGAATGTCAGATGTTAGACTAACTGGCCTATAGTTTCCTTCTTTCTGTCTCCATCTTTTGTTGTACACATGCATTACTTCTGCAATTTTCAAATCATCTTGGACCTTACCAGGATCCAGGACATTTTGGAAGATTACAACAATGCCTCATTGTCTCTGCAAACCCTTCGTTTGATGACCTAGTTAGTCCACAGTACATGTCAGCTTTTAATCCCAGAGTTTTTATTTTTTTTTCTCTAGTAATTATTTCAAGTTCTTCCCTCTGGGTCTCTGCTTTTCTACTATTTTTAGGATGCTTTGTGTCTCTTTTGTTGTGAAGACTGATACAATGTACTTCAAAATGGACTTCATTTCCTTGTTTCCTAAAATACAGAGTAACACAGAGATTGTTACTTTTGTGGTTCTGTCTTTAAATTTAGTACCTAGCTGTTATTCATTCCACACAGCTTCTTTCTTAGTCTTATCTTTGTTGCTAGAGAGGCACCTCAGCCTTTGGGAATCACACTCCCAGCTGCAGGCAACTGTATCTATCCCCCTAACTATATTGACCCCTACTGCAACTACCTTCTATTTACTTTCTGTATGGGCTGTGGTCATTTACTCGCCTTTCCTCTTGTCCACACAAACTGCAGAATATGAAATGGTTGGGTTAGCAAGGCCTGAGCTTCCTTCATTGCTACCTTATCAATCCCCACACTTGCTTCACCACAGTCACACCATCCTGGCCCTGGCAACAGATAAAATCTGAAACATCTAGCTGAAGTGGTGTGACAATTGACGATGGTTACACAGTAGCCATTAGACCAGCTCTCCGTTCCAATGTTTTTGAATTGCAGTTTCACTCTCTGCTATGCTGGGATTTGAACTCAGAAGGTTGCCCTGTGTTCCGGATTGTTCGTACAGTGACATTCTCCCTCTGCGGTTATTGACTTGCTCGCCGAGCTGGCTTGTTTTTGTTCAGACGTTTTGTCACCAGGCTCGGTGACATCATCAGTGGAGCCTCCGATGAAGCGATGCTATTCTACTCCGCTTGGAATTTATACTGTCCGGTCCGTTGTGGTGAGTGCTGCCATTTCCGGTTTTGATCTGTATGGGTTTATATATGGGGTCCAATTCTATATGTTTGTTGATTGAAGCATGAGTAGAGAACCATGCCTCTAGGAATTCCCGTGTGTGTCTATGTTTGACTTGGGCTACTATGGTTGCTTTGTCCTAGTTAAACTGATGGCCTTCATTGTCTGAATGTACAGGTATTAAGGACAGTTCATCGTGTCGTTTTGCTGCTAGCTGAGCTTTGTGTATGCTGATGGCTAGTTTCCTTCCTGTTTGTCTGATGTAATGTTTGTGGCAGTCGTTGCATGGTATTTTGTAAACGACATTCATTCTGCATGTTGTGGAAATGGGGTCTTTAGTCCTTGTAAGTGTTTGTCATAGAGTGGCTATGGGCTTGTGGGCCTCAATGATTCCTAGTGGTCTTAAGAGTCTTGTTGTCAATTCCAATATGTTCCTGATGTGGGGAAGTGTGGTAAGTGTGTTAGGTCATACAGTTTCCTCCTGTTGTTGCCTGTTATGTAGGCATCTGTGGATGAAGTTGCGGGGATATCCATTTGAGGCAAGGATCTTGTGTAAGTGTTCTTCCTCTTCCCGGCGTAGTTCTGATGTGGTGCAGTGTGTCCTGGCCCATTTAAATAGTGTCCTAGTGCAGCTTTGTGGACGTTGGGGTGGTTGCTGTGGAAGTTGAGGATTTGATCTGTATGGGTTGCTTTTCAGTATACTGAGGTTTGGAACTCCCTGTTTGTTAGTCGTTCTACCTTAACATCCAGAAACGGAAATTGATTGGTTTCTTCTTCCCTTGTGAATCTCTCCTAATTTGCTGCTTTTAATAATGACAAATGTGTCTTCTACATACCAGATCCATAGTTTAGTTTTATGTTCTTGAAGGTATCGAGGAAATCTTGGGTGATCCATCTACTAGGTGTTTCAGTCTCTGTTGTAGGACCTTGGCCAGTTTGTGTGAAGCTGTGCCTGGTAGGGAGACAGTGGGTCTGAGATCCACCTAAACTGTGGATCTGGTATGTAGACGACACATTTGTCATTATTAAACACAGCAAAATAGGAGAGACCCACCACCTCATCAACAGCGTATTCACAGGATTAGATTTACAAGGGAAGCAGAAATCAACAATCAACTTCCATTTCTGGATGTTAAGGTAGAACAACTAACAAACGGGGAGTTCCAAACCTCAGTATACACAAAAGTAACCCATACAGATCAAATCCTCAACTTCCCCAGCAACCACCCCAATGTCCACAAAGAATGCTGCACAGGACACTATTTAAATGGGCCAGGACACACTGCAACACTCCAGAAATACACCAGGAAGAAGAAGAACACTTATACAAGATCCTTGCCTTAAACAGATATCCCTGCAACTTCATCCACAGATGCTCACATAACAGGCAACAACAGGAGGAAGTTACTGTTACAGTCTAACTGTCACTTGCATAATTCTGTTAGCAAAAGATTGACGACCTAACACACCACACTTCCCCACATCAGGAACATATTGGAATTGACAACAAGACTTCTAAGACCACTAGGAATCATTGAGGCCCACAAGCCCACAGGCACCCTACGACAAACACTTACAAGTATTAAAAACCCCATTCCCACAACATGCAGAAGAATGTGGTTTACAAAATACCATGCAACGACTGCCACAAACATTACATTGCACAGACAAGAAAGAAACTA